TAAAATCAGCTAATAATAGGATAATTAAAATACTTTTTGTTATATCTATATTTTAACCATATTGTAAATACCCGTATATTGACTACCGCAGTGAAGCGCGTCGAAAGTATATTATGCAAATAAATACTTACATTTACCGACTGGATAAGCATGTCTATCTTAGCTTTAAATACGTAGTGAATGTGTGGTTTAATGGTCAAGAGCGAAACATTAAGTAATATACATGTATTGAATTAACAACACGAGGGACGAATATATTGTTTCCTTTTACTTACGTTTGATGTACGTTTTATAGATATAAGCGTTGGCATTACGTTTTATGTTATAAAGAAAAAAACAGTTCTAAACGATTAAAACAATACAAAATAACCAACGAATTAACTAAAGAAAAAGACAGCAATCTACATGAATTATACATTAACATATCTATGTTATTATTTTTGTCTATTAAATAATTGTTGATTTTATATAGTGTATACTATATCAGTAAGTATGACGTATATAAGGCCAGAACATATATCTATGTTATATATTATAAATAATAAGTATATATCACTGTATAACATACTTACCTGTACGGGAGTAACCTATATCATACAAACGGTCTCCCGGGGTTAGGCTACTCCATAGCACTCTGGAATAGCCGAACTCTTCGGGCACCTCTAAAGTTGGTGAGCCGGGTACATAATTTCTTAGTGTTGGGGACTGCGTTCGCGCTCTCCCCTTAAAATTCAAATAAAAGATAGTTGCCACATTTAAGCCAATGAACACACAGTTACTTGGTATGGGTGACTCAGTGAGTCACACGTTCGCTCGCTACACCTGGGGGGGGGGGGTGCTGCCGTGTTCCCCCTTGTGGGTGGTGCAGGACGAAGGGCCTGGCAAAGGAAAACGTATAGTCGTTAGGATGGGACGAAAAACCGAGGTCCCGTGTACACATTGGCGTACACGTAAAGTAAGGCTTTGCAGTTGGAATTTGATATAATATGCAATAAAAACGCACCACGGAAGTTTTCGCGAGACATATTGGAGCTGGAATGTGATTTTTGGCATGATTGTAGGCTGGACATTATGTTAGTCGCAGTATTGAGTTAACCAAGCGTTAAATCTCATTTCATTCAATCCCTTTACTGTCAAGGACTGAAAGTATATCTTGTGTACATGTTCTATAATTACCAATTACCATAGCAATTATAAGAGAATATAACACCCAATAATACATTCTACAGTAGATATCGCTTGTATGATAATTGATTGGTCAATTAAATAAATAAAAATAATGTATATTTGTAATAATCCATCCATATACGCATGTTCAAAGCGCAAAATTTAAGGAGTCTCTCGTCAATAAAACACGCATAAAAATCTGTTTATGAGTGAGTTTTTAGTTGATAGCATTTCCAGTTTGTGTTCTTGTTGCCGAACATTTTAAATAAGTGTGGTCGTTAGTTTTTATAATTGTTAAATATAATGAGTATTATAAGATTTATAGAGCAAACTTTAAACAATATGGTCAGAAGCGCTTTACATAGTTAAAATAGGAAAAATACACGAAAGACACAAATATAAAGATAACATCGTTATACCACATTGAAAACTACCTTACAAAATAAATAAATGAAACGCAAAATAAATGGAAATACAATAAAATTAGCTAATAATAGGATAATTAAAATACTTTTTGTTGTATCTGTATTTTAATCATATTGTAAATACCCGTATATTGACTACCGCAGTGAAGCGCGTCGAATTTATCGACTAGATAATCACGCCTATCCTCGCTTTAAATACGTATTGTATACGTATTTTATTTGCCCATTGCAAGTCAGTTGAGGTATATGGACTAATATAATATTGTTTCCTTTACTTGCGTTTGGTGTACGTTTTCTACATAATATAAGCGTTGACATTACGTTTTATGTTATAAAGAAAAAAACAGTTCTAAACCTTTAAAACAATACAAAATAATCAACGAATTAACTAAAGAAAAAGACAGCAATCTACATGAACTATATATTAACATATCTATGTTATTATTCTTGTCCATTAAATAATTGTTGATTTTATATAGTATATAATATATCAGTAAGTATGACGTATATAAGGCCAGAACATATATCTATGTTACATAATATAAACAATAAGTATATACCACTGTATAACATACTTACCTGTACGGGAGTTACCTATATCATACAAACGGTCTCCCGGGGTTAGGCTACTCCATAGCACTCTGGAATAGCCGAACTCTTCGGGCACCTCTAAAGTTGGTGAGCCGGGTACATAATTTCTTAGTGTTGGGGACTGCGTTCGCGCTCTCCCCATAAAATTCAAATAAAAGATAGTTGCCACATTTAAGTCAACGGACACACTGTTACTTGGTATGGGTGGCTCAGTGAGTCACACGTTAGCTCGCTAACCTGGGGGGTTCCGTGTTCTGCCTTGTGGGTGGTGCAGGATGGAGGTCCCGTGAACACATTGGGTACACGTAAAACACGCCTTTGCAGTTGACATTCGATATAAGATGTAATAAAAACGCACCACCCAATTGACTGTGGGTGTTGCAGGACGGAGGGCCTGGCAAGGGAAAACGTATAGTCGTTAGGATGGGACGAAAAATCGTGGTCCCGTGTACTCATTGGCGTACACGTAAAATAAGCCTTTGCAGTTGAAATTCGATATAAGATGCAAATTAAATGAAATGAAATGGCGTTTAACGCCCTACTGTTCTGCTCCTAACCTGGGCTAATGAAGACGGGATATAAGATGCAATAAAAACGCACCACCCAATTGACTGGAAGTTTCCGCGAGACATATTGGAGTTGGAATGTGATTTTTGGCATGATTGTAGGCTGGACATTATGTTAGTCGCAGTATTGTGTTAACCAAACGTTAAATCCCATTTCATTCAATCCCTTTTCGCGAGACATATTGGAGCTGGAATGTGATTTTTGGCATGATTGTAGGCTGGACATTATGTTAGTCGCAGTATTGTGTTAACCAAGCGTTAAATCCCATTTCATTCATTCCCTTTACTGTCAAGGACTGAAAGTATATACCATATATCTTGTGTACTCGTTCTATAGTTACCAATTACCATAGCAATTATAAGAGAATATAACACTCAATAACACATTCTACAGTAGATATAGCATGATAACAGTCATATGAATTTGATTGGTCAAGTAAAAAAAACCCTTTTTTTTATCAAAAAGGAACTACTTTTTGGATCCAGTAATACTGTTGAGGAAATTTCTCACTTACAATAAACGTGTTCGCTCCGTAGTGGCTTTGACCTTAATGGAAACACCGGGTCAATATAAAAGACTTTGCAACGGGTGACTTGCTGTCAAAAAAATGATATATCCCTGCGCCATAATTAAATGAAGTTCAGTAAAAGTAAATCTATAACAAAGAATTATATAGTCTGAAATTTGGGGTATAGGGGTAGCTCGGACCGGGGAGTAACATAGGCCAGGTGGCGTTAGTCTACCACTTCCGGTTTCGGGGTTATGACCCCCGGGCTGTTCGGGGTTGGCGGCTACACTAGGTCTGCCCCGAGTCTGAAATTTGGGGCATAGGGGTAGCTGTGACCGGGGAGTAACATAGGCCAGGTGGCGTTAGTCTACCACTTCCGGTTTCGGTGTTATGATCCCCGAGCGAAGCCGGGCATTCTGCTAGTAATGTATATTTGTAATGCGCTAAATAATCCATCCATATCCGCATGCTCAAAGTGAAAATTTAAGGAGTCTCTCGTCAATAAAACACACATAAACAATCTATTTCTAATCCGGATAATAAAGTTTTTATGAGTTTTTAGTTGATAGCATTTCAAATTTGTGTTTCTTGTTGCCGAACATTTTAAATAATTGTGGTCGTTAGTTTTTATAATATTGTTAAATATAATGATTATTATAAGATTTATAGAGCGCACTTTAAACAATATGCTCAGAAGCGCTTTACATAGTTAAAATAGGAAAAATACACGTAAGTCACAATGAAATGAAATGGTGTTCAGCGTCCTACTGTTCTGCTCCGAACTGGCTAATGAAGACGGGCATACGCCAAACAGTGTGCTATAAGGGAAATTTTGCCCGGACAGCGGCACCACGGCCTACTCTTATATCGAATTCCAACTGTCAAGGAATCTTTTACGTGCACGCCAATGTGTACAAAAGACCTCGGTTTTTCATCCCATCCGAACGACTAGACAGCTGTCCTTGTCAGGCCCTCCGTCCTGCATCACTGACAAGGGGGAACCACGCCGGAAAATCTGGATGAACTTTCTCGGCAAATGCAGGGATCGAACACCCGACCTCCAGGCTAGTGACCCACTTAGCCACCGTGACCCCTACGAAAGTCACAAATGTAATAAGATAACATCGTTATACCACATGGAAAATTACCTTGCAAAATAAATAATGAAACGCAAAATAAATGAAAATGCAATAAAGTTAGCTAATAATAGGATAATTAAAATACTTTTTGTTATATCTACATTTTAATCATATTGTAAATACCCGTATATTGACTACCGCAGTAAAGCGTGTCGAAGGTATATTATGGAAATAAATACTTGCATTTATGGAGTAGTTTATCATTTATATCCTCGCTTTAAATACGTATTGTATACGCATTTTATTTCCGCATTGTAAGTCAGTCGAAGTATATGGACTAATATATTGTTTCGTTTTACTTACGTTTGGTGTACGTTCTCTACATATAAGCGTTTTGATAACGTTTTCTTTATATTGTAAAGAAGAATAGTTCTAAAAGTATCTAATCTTGAAAACAATACAAAATAATTTAAAAAATAGCTAAAGAAAATGACAGCAATCTACATGAACTATATATTAACATATATATGTTATTATTCTTGTCCATTAAATAATTGTTGATTTTATATAGTATACAATATATGAGCAAGGATGACGTATATAAGGCCAGAACATATATCTATATTATATATTATACACAATAAGTATATATCACTGTATAACATACTTACCTGTACGGGAGTTACCTATATCATACAAACGGTCTCCCGGGGTAAGGCTACTCCATAGCACTCTGGAATAGCCGAACTCTTCGGGCACCTCTAATGTTGGTGAGCCGGGTACATAATTTCTTAGTGTTGGGGACTGCGTTCGCGCTCTCCCCATAAAATTCAAATGAAAGATAGTTGCCACATTTAAGTCAATGAAAACACAGTTACTTGGTATGGGTGGCTCAGTGAGTCACACGTTCGCTTGCTAACCTGGGTGGGGGGGGGGTCCGTGTTCCCCCTTGTGGGTGGTACAGGACGAAGGGCCTAGCAAAGGAAAACGTAAAGTCGTTCGGATGGGACGAAAACCCGAGGACCCGTGTATACACATTGGCCTACAGGTAAAATAAGCACTTGCAGTTGGAATTCGATATAAGATGCAATAAAAACGTACCACCCAATTGACATATTGGAGCTGGAATGTGATTTTTGGCATGTTTGTAGGCTGGACATTATGTTAATCACAGTATTATGTTAACCAAGCAAGCGTTAAATCTCACTTTATTCATTCCCTTTACTGTCAAGGACTGAAAGTATGTACCAGATATCTACTCTACATGTTCTATATTTAGCAATTACCATAGCAGTTATAAGAGAATATATCGTGCTGTAATATCATACCAAATTTAAATGTTACCATGGAAAAGAAAAACAGCAGTAATCTATAACAAATTATGGCAACAGCAAAAAATATTGTAATTTTTGCGAATAAATTTGAAAAGTGTATGAAAGAAACAGTTAAATTACCAATAACGCTGCAGTGCAAATGACCTTTCCTGGGTTGTTTCATGTGGAGTAAACGGAACATTTGTAGACAATTTCAATTTGTTTTGATTAGGTTGGCTCCACGTATGGTCAAACTTCTAAGGCAGAGGGGAAGTTGGATCATCGTTTCTAAATGTATGTTGTAGATCGCTGTTCATTGACAGCAATCAAATTGCAATCTGGGTACGCTTTCAATTTCCGTTTACGACTGTCAGTATAAATCTAGCTTATTAAAGAAGTAAATGCTTATTGATTGATAATTAGGGACACTATACTAAGGTCAGAGGTCATGTTGGTCGTTTTACATCACCATATCACTATTTTTATAATTCCATGAATATTGTAACTTTAAAAATAACATGAGATCACGAGTTCTTATACTCGTCAACAATAGAAAATCTACATCAGGTTGACATGCACGTAAAAGAACCCTTGACAGATGGAATTCGACGACGAGTAGGCTGCAACGCCGCTGTGGGGACAAAATTGCCTTTATAGCAAACTGCGTGGCGTCTTCATTAGCCTGATTGGTGCAGAAATGTAGGACGTTAAACCCCATTTCATTTATCTAACAGGTTTATAGACATCTTTGTCTTTTGTTGAGGGGACAGTAGTTGTGATGTAATGAACGATCTAAATACAGCTGTAAATTTCCTGCCAATAACTTGTTCTTTAAGATAGTTCATCATCACAAATTATATAGATAAAGAGAGGAGATTTGTTTTTTTATTTTTTTTTGATAGAAAATTATATGGGAATCTTAGACAAGATTAAGCAAGGCCAGTTGTACCTGCAATAAAGTCCAAATGGAGCAGAACAGTAGGACGTTAAACCCCATTTCATTTCATTTTCACGTGGTCATGAATGTAACCTGTCTATTTGTAACAAGTCATTATTTTTCCCGTTTGTAAGGCCATTTTCTTGATGTTTTGGTCTAGAACCGAAAAGGAGTGCATAAATTCATTGGACCATATCTAGAAAAAACTCGAAACGGTCAACCTTTTTCAATATTTTTATCAGGTGACTATGATAATTTGACTCTTTGTGGGTATACACATTAAGATCATCTGAATGTTCAAAACTATGTTATAGACCAAGAAATTTCACGTATATAACATTTAAGTCAATGGGGAGAGAATTATTAGTCTGAGACCATAACGACGGCGTGTTACATTATTCTTGTCCACCTAATCACAACGACCTGATGATCGCGTCAACACACTTTCAATTTCATAGTAATTTAGACATTCATTGAGACCATTTAACAACTTCAGATAAGTTTGAAATAAATTAACGAAAGTGTTGTATTATGTTTGATTGGATATATTCAATTATGTTGCCCACCACGTCCATAGTTAGTGGTTGTTAACGTGTATCTACCTCCTCCAGCGATCAAAATTATGATTGTACGTAGACGATCCTTTCCCACCAACAACTATGATAATTGTTATCGGCGACTTCCTATTTTATACTAATGGTTAACCGGGCAGCGTTCAATAGTGTCCATGTCCTGTGTAAATCCTTTGCGAACGAGTTGTGAAAACACCTTTTGCCTATCTTAATCTCAAATATCAAATAGACAGTTTTGTTTAAATTCGCACCCAATCTAATAATGATTTTAAAGTCTTTATTATTCGAATTTCCTACTAAATAAAATATTTCATAAAACCAAACTTGAAAATAAGGTTTTACACTGGCTTACGTGCTAAATTTTCAGCCAATCAAAAATTTGAATCCTTAAAATATTTTAGTTTTTAAGTTTTCGACATGGCATCTGGTGGGTGGGGTAATATCAGACTTTATATACCGTTGTCTTTTCATGTCTTTCGTTACGCTACTGAACACTACCTTGATTTTATTATTCAACAGTAAGTATAGATAATTGTAGTAACGTGATAATACACGTTGATGTTAAAGAAGGTCGCAGTGTATGTCTGGATCTTCCCGATTAATTATCAGATTTAATCTTTACTTCACAGACTTCACTTAACGTCACGCTAATCCTTTAAATCAGTTACACAGATTTCATTTTCAAATTACATTCATTGGTTTCTAGATTTAAACACGGGTCTGTTGTAAAAGATATTATCGTGCGGAAAGTCTCAAAAATTAGAATTTCTCATTCAGCAAGGTACAAAGACTAGTACCGTGAGTACAGAAGGACCACATAAACAAAAACCCATAATCAAAAGCACGGGCAAGATTATATTCCTGAAGCAATTCCCCGTGAAATCCCTCTCTAGCAATTGCTGTATTGAGACTGAAAACGTAAGTCTTTGACTAAGCGTGATCATTTTCATCGTTCAATCAAATCTCTCCTGAATGCAGTATAAAAGGAATTTTCATGACTTCCCAATGTTCGTTAGTGCTGATTTCGAGAAAAATTTTACCGTTGGATACATTGGGAGCAAACATCGATACTCGCATTGGTAAAATTGACCGTCGCTGAAACTCGCGATGCGAACGAAAGTTCTTTGAATCAAATCTATGATATATATTCTATAAACGTGTCTATTTGTATCAATCATTACTGCCTACCTTTAAGTATTCCATAATATTTATCCATTTTTGTGAAGAAAATCCATGTATTATTTATCATTTTAAAAAAAAAATCACATGTATTTCCGTCCAGTTTGTTGAAACACAATACGTAACATGACAGTCTTTTGGTATGCACCAGTTAATTGAGCGTAATACATTTCGGGCGTTATGACGAAATGTAACCTTGTTTGTCACCAGACACTTTATGGTAACATATTTAGAGCTCTGGTTAACCCCGATTGATTTTGTTACGTAGTAATCTACTGGTTGTTGATCGGACAGTTAACCAGTCATAATTTGGGACAGAAATTGACGCTGAGTACGGCAGTGATTGGGTGGGATAAGGTTTAATCAAACGAAACACTGCGGGGAGTATGGGACAAGACGCCCGATATATACATATTGCAAGCAATAAACAACCAAATGCTACAGCGCTCTACAGCCCCGGGACTGTAGTGATACCATATTCATGAAGCAATGGTCCGAGAAATCCCTCTCTGGCCATTGCTGGATTGGCTTCTGATACTTGAGCTTTTGAGGGAGTTTGTCTATTCTTCCCGTTCAATCAAATCTATCTGGGGTCTTCCCTAAAACTTTGGACAGTGATTTAAGGCATTAAAAACGATGAAAGTATTGTTCGTCTCCAAACAGTATTGTTTACATTGTGTCCATTTTGATAGCCTCGTTTGTCACGCAATTAGTTTTCTGCAATATCCTGCTATGCACTGGTTAATTGGCCATAATAAAATCGTGAGCCATGACCTGGTACGGGCTAGTTGGGGGTGGGGGATGTCATCAACACGAAACGAGGCCCAACTTTTCTGTGGTATTTTTTTTTTTTAACGTAGATTACGATGCCGGGGGTGATAATCAAGGGTGCTGGCTGTTGGGACGTTTTCGATATAGTCGAGGTCAATGGTCAAGTGGGATCGTTTACCTGATTGTACGAAAAATGAGCGAAGTCAAATGAGCCGTAAGCAGAGGTTAGTGTGGACTGCAAGGGAAGACAACTCTGTTTGGGAGATTGCCCTGGGTGTACGAAAAATAACATTTTTAGCTTGTGGATCATCTAGGGGACACAGTTTTTTATTCGATTTTAAAAACCGTTTAAATATATCACCGTTACACAATAGCTAAGGTTGAGCTCGACTATCGGGAAAATCAAAACGAAACTGAACGACAAAATGGCCGCTCCTTGTACGCAAATAGTGTAAGAGTATGTAATAGGAAGGTTGTGGACCCTCTAGACGTCGCAAATTTTGTCAGATTTTGAAGAAACTTATAATGTATGTTTATAGCCCAAAGATCTCAGTTCAGTTCGATATTATCGCATTTTATACTATAACTTCCTGGATTATGGCACCTGATTGTACGAAAAATCGCATTTTTGTTTAGCTTATTCTCTATCTATCTCTTGCAAAATGTTGGCGATCTTGCCTAGCAACCGCTGGTTAATTCTTTTAATGATGTACTGTATTACATCCGCTGATCGTTAAGCGCAAAATATCAACGGTTAACATTCTTCCGACTTGGATTAAACATACATTATGAAAGAGCTAAATCTGCCTATTGCAGGTATTTCTTTAGGCCTGAAATGTTATCTAAATTATTAATTAGACATTAATTAACTTATCCAGACCATATTCAACTCTCGATGTCAACACTAGCCCGCGATAATTACTGGATTACGATCAGATTTGCTGCTCAACTTTCATTCATGATTTAATCATGAAATGGATAATCGAGACTATGTTTTATTTATCGTACCGACTTTAGTAATAATGATCGAGGCTAGGCCAAAAATGCAATCGC